GCTTACACTTATATAGTGCTTTTCTGGACACTCCACTCAAAGCGCTTTACAGGTAATGGGGACTCCCCTCCACCATCACCAATGTGCAGCCCCACCTGGATGATGTGACGGCAGCCATAGTGTGCCAGAACGCTCCCCACACATCAGCTATTAGTGGGGAGGGGAAAAGAGTGATGAAGCCAATTCAGAGATGGGGATTATTAGGAGGCCACGATTGGTAAGGGCCAATGGGAAATTTAGCCAGGATGTTCTCTAGATGTCAACAGGAGCACTTGGAGTAGACCTTCACTTTGCGAGTGGGGAAAGGCAAGGTTCAGTGGAAACACCAGGGTTGTTGGCAGTGGAGAAGGGAAGAGAGGGTGAAATGTGTTTGATTTCTAGTTTTTAGTTGATCCAAGGAGTTTCTTGAAAGAAGTCAGGGTTTTGGCTTCGATAGCATAGCTGGGCAGCTTCTTCCACAACCCTTACTGTATCGTGATTTGTCTGTTGTCCTTTGGTTTTAACGCACTGCCCCTTAGCTTCCATTCGTGACCCCTGGTTGGTGTTTCACAGTTGATTCTCAATAAATACTTGGTTTTGAATACTCGGAAACCTCTCCAGTCCTTGCTGTTCAAGACAAAAAAGTTTTAGATCTTTTAGCTTGTTGGTATAGGTCATTCCTTTGAAACCAGTGCAATCTGCTTGTTGTTCTTTAGACTGGTTCCAGAGCATCAGCATCATCGTAGTACATTGTACTATTTTAATCTCCAATTGTGAAGAGATCATAGCTTTCTGTTTGCCTTTTTAATTGCTTTCCCACATTGATTAGAAAATGAAAATTTGCCCTTTGATAATGGAATATAGTGATAAAATACTGAGCATGGATACGTAACTCCAGTCTTTCTGGGCACCAATGCAGCAGGACTTCTTGTTTACTTTAAATCAATGTGTTTGGACCTTTGAAAAGGCTTAAATTGTTCCAGATAAGCTAATTAGCTCAATTAGCTCATTAAGATCTGAAGTGGAATTAAATCCAACAGACACTTTGGGGTACCAGGAATGGCGTTGCACAATGTAGAACAGCCTCACATTATTTAAAAATTTGGCCACTTTTTCTTACTTATTGCTAGTGATGATTTTTTTTAAAGAAAAGAAAATGCAAAGTATATGAAAACTAGGTGGTTTAACTTTCTACAGGTTAAAACCTCTCTGAAAACCTGAATCTCCTGTGCTATTGACAGTAATGGTCTTGTTTTAGGAAAATTATAGTTGAATGCTTTGTTGAATTAATAAATCAGGCATTGGTGAAATTAGAATTTCATATATTTCAAAGTTCTGACTATTACATGGTTGTTCATGCAGCCCTGAGTCAGTGGAAGCAAGCCCTGCTGTCAATGAGAAGAATAACTATTCCAATCACAGCTGTGGGAACGCTCAGAATCATGGGTACCGGGGATTACCCTATGCTGTGAGTAAGACCTTCATAGTTAATGAGATTATAAACCAAAGCTAAAGCAATGAGAGAATGAGCTGCCTATTCTTATCACATCTCTGCCATTTGAGATACTACACTTGTTGCGATTCAGTTTCAGCTTGCTTATGGTTTTGTATCTACACTGCTGAGAAACACCCACTTCTTCTGTAACAGGATTTGTTGGCCTTGGGAATCCAAACTCAAGCTATGTAATTGAGATTCTAGTTACCTAGAAAATAACTGTGCTAGCTGCCTCACAGAAAAAAAATCACTTTATCTTTAGCGTGTTATTGAATTCCTAGATTTTAGAAAACCTGAATAAAAGATTTATACGTATAGGAAGTGATGGCATAGGGGCAGAGTTATTTTACATTGCATACCGGGTGAAAAACCTGCCAGTGCAGTGTTTTCTGTATGGTAATAATGCATTTGCATACAAATTGGATTCCAGTCTTTTCTTTGTGTGCATAGAATTTGCTAGCTACCTTAGGTTTTAAAATTCATTAAGTGTTAGGTTCTTCCTCATTTTTGATCCTATTTCGCACGGCCGCATTGTTTGGAAGATGTCCCACGCTCATGTTCTGTTTTGTCAGGATCACAACTATGGTGCACCCCCTCCTCCAACTCCACCAGCGTCCCCACCTACACAGACCATCATTCCTCGGGTGGAGCTCAATGGGGTGCGCTCCCGGTACGAGGACAACTCGGCTGACAGTGACAGCTCCTCCGACCAGGAGAATTCATCCAACTGGTGTCACTGCAGCCTGACTCAGGATGGCTTTCTTATCAAATGTGAAAACTGCAGGTAGGCTGTTCTGCCTCTCTAACCACTGATTATCCAGCAGGCTTTGTCATGTCATGGATCTGCGCATGTTGGGTTTCAGGAAGAATGTGCAATTTACGCAAATCTAAAACATTATATAACATCCGATTTTATTCTTCAATATATTACACTTAACAATAATTTAATTGCAGCTACGTCATTAGCATAAAGGGGGCATTACAATATAAAACCCCCATTAAACTTTTATTATTGAGTAAAGAATGCAATAATTATGCATTTAATTATTCCATATACTTTATTTGTTGAAGACTTATCATGAAGACATGACTCACTTTGAGTATCTGTGATATTTAAAATACACTGTGAAGGCGTCTTGTAAGGAGCATTTCTGCATGTGCTTTTGTAAGATGTCAAAGGTAATCAGAATGTGATGTTAAAGTGAAGCATGTTGTGGCAATTTTTGAAAGATGCAGGAGAATAGAAAAACTAACCCACGGTCTACCTGTAGGCAAGAGACAGTCAAAGAGCACTTATGAAACATTCTAGTCTGTAGACCTTTATCACCAGTTCATAATAGTTTGATTAAAATATAATCTCCACTCCAGTGTTTTGTAACAGGTCTTCGTATATGGCCACAGTTTTTTTTAATGGGGAGATAGTATCTACTGTACCTTAAATAGTTTGTTTTTCAAATTAGCCATAAAGTGTGCCAATGGTTTCTTGCCAAGCTTAAGGTTTCCTGTTTTGAGATTTTCTTGGCAATGTTGCATCCCAGTCTATATCCAAGAAAAGACAGGAACAGTCCTGCAGGAATTAATCAAGTCCTAAGTTGGAAGCATGCCTCATCAAGAGGCTTGTGCCTTGCCTTTATGTACAACATTCCGTGGTGAGGAAGCTATAAGTGATGGTCTACTCCTATCGATCTGTGTAGCCGGAGTTATTTTTAAATTCAGTGCAATTTAATGTCAGCTTAAACTAAAATCTGAAGTCCTTTCCTGTGAGAAGTACAGTACCTGTTAATTTTCTAGTTTTAATCATGATTGTAGGGGCTTGGACCGGAGGAAAGGTGTCAACGTTCAGCGCAGAAAACAAGAGAATGAATCTGGTAAGGACAAATGAGCTTAGCCCTGCACAGCTTCTTTTTGTTTATTTGACTTAAGCTTTGAGTTGGAAAGTAGATATTTCATAGTGTGTTTGACGATGTCTGATTTTATCCCCTTATCTCATTTTAAACTTAGGGTTATGGGATTTCATTTTACGTACAGTGCTGAGAAACCTTGGGGAACCCTCAATACAATTCTGGAAAGTAGTTTCTGTAAAAAAAAATGTAGCCCTTTCATACACCATTTTACAACAGAGGAAATCCATGTGAAATTTGGATAGAAATATGTAAATGTCGCCTTCTGTGTTTGCCAAGGTGGAGAAAGCAGTGCCACAGAGAGTGGGGATGAGGAGGTGTCGCCAGCGACAGTGTCTTACACTGCCACTCAGCACACTCCAACCAGCATTACCCTCACTGTCAATCGCGTAAAGAGAACCAAACCCAAAAAGAGGAAGAAAAGCACAGAGAAAGTTCGCAGCGCGCCTAAAGCAAAAAAGATTAAGGTAACGTTCCTTGATATTCCTCTTCAACCCAGGTCTGTTTGGGCGGGATGTTTTAAAATAAAGATTGACCCCACCATAAATTGCCAAAGAACATTTTTTTTTTACCCATCATGAACACATTTAAAATGAAGGACCAAGTGGAAGTGAATTGCACACTGAAATGTGGAAAGAAGAAAAAAGGAATGCTCTGGCTTTAGAGCCTGCTTTGATTTTAATACACCGGAATGAGGCTGCCTAGTCTAAACACCTTTTATTACTACGTTCAGAGTGGAATTGACTTTTTCTTATACCTGAATAATGCCCCGCTAATTTCTAAGGCTAACTGAAATGTGTCTTTTTCTTTCAAGGCTTTCCGAGAGGGCTCTAGAAAATCCATGAGGATGAAGGTATGGATTGTACACTTGGAATGTTGCATCCAGGAAATCTCTTAAAGAGACCTGATTTGAATAGGATGGAATACTATTACTAATAAACTTTCAGGAGTGTGTCATCTTTATCTTTTTAGTTTTAAGTGGTACATTCTAATGTTTTTCCTTGTGTTTTGTGAGTAGAATTCTACAACTGAGGCAAATACTTTGGATGAGAATACCACAGAGGGCTGGGAGACACGGATCCGGCTATGGACAGACCAGTACGAAGAGGCCTTCTCTAACCAGTACAGTGCTGATATTCAGAACTTGCTTGAGCTGCACCGCATAACCAGCAAAGACTCTGTGGGCAAAGCAGCAGCAATGGACACCATTAACAAAACTGAGCTGGCTTGTAACAACACTGTAATTGGATCTCAGATGCAGGTGAGTCCAGGAAAACCAATGTATTAAAACTTAAATTTACAGGGGGGATCATTTTCATGTTTGACTGGGATTTTTGTTTTTTCCCCCATTTAAACACTAGACATAGATGCCCCTTCCAATAGAAAATTACTGTTACTGGAGATACTGATATTATTTTCTAGATTACTGTGTATTATTGTCTAGACTTCCCTTTCTCTAAAAGATAATGCAGCTCCTTTGGTTTTCATGTTTTGTGTTCAGTTACAGCTCGGAAGGGTGACTCGAGTGCAGAAGCATCGCAAGATCCTGCGAGCTGCTCGGGACCTTGTTCCAGACACCCTAATCATAGAGTACCGAGGGAAGGTCATGCTTAAGCAACAGTTTGAAGTTAACGGGCACTTCTTTAAAAAGTAAGCCACCTGTAATATTTTGTGTTTATGAGAATGTTTTTCAGAGCAAGTGTTTGCCATTTCTTCATGATTTATTCACTTGGATATGGTCATCGTGCCTGGTTTTCTGCATGCTTTAAAATAGACTATACAGCATATTAAAAACTCCAGATGTTGACATATCTCACTGGACTGTGCGTATTTGTACCGGTGGGCAAGTCTGTTCCAAGAGCTGTCTGGATCCTTTTTCATGTGATCTAGGTAGACTGTCTTCCACTTTTTTGCGATCTATCGGAAGCTTCGATATTTTATTTGACTACATTTTAGTTACAGAAAGGAAAGACCTATCAGGTTGATGATTTGTTTCTTTCAGACCTTACCCTTTCGTGCTGTTCTATTCTAAATTTAATGAGGTCGATATGTGTGTGGATGCCCGAACGTTTGGCAATGATGCAAGGTTTATAAGGAGGTCTTGCACTCCAAATGCAGAGGTAAGTGTGGAAGTGACTGAATTCATTTCTGATTGGTGTAAAATCAAGTCTGTACTAATTTAAAGTAAATGAAGAGGAACTGACAAGAACCATACCCATTACCTTATTACCAATAATCAAAGAACAAGGTCAAGCATTGAGTGTATGCATGCAGGATTTCAACTTTAAATGTTTTGACTATATATATTTTGTGGCCTGTAATCTAACAAAATCAATATTTTTGAGCATTTTGGCACATTGTCTAGATTTTGTAATACAGAAAAATCTGTATTAAAACATTTTCATGCAAAGTGTTTCATTGCTGTTAAGTAGCACTTTCAGTGTCACATTTTCAAATGTTTAACTTCCTGAAACTGATTTGTAACTTTTTCAAAGGTTCGACACATGATAGCTGATGGGATGATCCACTTGTGTATTTATGCTGTCAATCACATTTCAAAAGATTCCGAAGTAACCATTGGCTTTGACTATGAATTTAACAGCTGGTGAGTAACCATTGCTATTCTAACAAGTGTACTTCCTAGGTCATGCCGAACAGCCTATATTCATCATAATTCTGATAGATGAAAGTGCTGATGTATATTTGCATTGTGATAAAAATCTTTTCAATTTTCCAACCTTCCAATTTGTTCTAAGCTCTGTATTACATCCTCAAACTAGAGTACATCTCAGTGTGATGACACTTGTTATAAGCAAAACAGAGGAGATTGAAAGTTTTTTTGAAAGGTGGTTTTTAATTAATATTTAAAAATCTTAATCCCAGTTTTTCAGATTTCATGGTTTAACAAATAAAACAAAACAGTCCTGGTGTTTAGTGCATATTGGTGGAAGGAAAACGGAACACTTTAATTATTAAAAACAATTAGCGTATCCCCAGATCAAAGTCTATTATATATGTTTGTGTGCCACAAACACAAAGATCCGCTGCCATGTCCTTTTTTGTTAAAATGCTCAGACGACATTATGTTTATAGTTTAGTAGCCATTACCATTTGTTTGTTCTCCTTAAGGCCCCCATGGTAGAATCATGACCTAGTATAATGATTTAGCTCATGCTAAATCCAAGGTGACATAAAGAGGTGATGTTGCAGTCCTGATGTCCACAGATAGCTGGTTCAGAAGTGAGGAGGTATGGGAGGAGAACACTTACATGGTGCAGAAGGTTGAGAGGAAGGTAACTCTAGGTGACAAGTGAAGAGGATATGAAGGAAAGGGAGATTAGTGAGTGGAATAGGGTATCTTAGAGGAGAGTGTGGCAGGTTATATCTTGAGTTAGATGTGTATAGAGATAGTGAGTTATTTTAAAGGTGCATGGCAGAAACGTGATGGAGAGATTATAAGGTAGTCTGCAGAGATTTTAAAAAAGAGCTAATTACTGATACACAGATGCCAGCAAAATGTTCCTCTAATCCAGTCTAGAACGTTTAAGGGCCTGACCTTGGCCTTCAAGAGAGTAGGTTATTAGGAAAGGATGTATCCTTCCCATGGGGTGTGTCATGAGGTTATGCTACACGTGGGAGAGGTGTGGCATCAGTGGGGTGGGGGGGTAGAGGAAGTCATTTTTGAATTGAGTTTGGATTGCTCGAGATGCAATTACAGTAGATGTCCCTGAAGAAATGTCAGATGAGATCACTTTATTGGCCATATACAATTTCTTGTATTAGGAATTTGTCTTTTTTCGCATACCCCCAACTTGTTCTGAGACACACAGACACAGAGACAGGGAGACAAGCTTGGGGTCAGAGCGCAGGGTCAGCCATTTATAGTAGGAGTATAGGATTCCTCTGCCGGCCGCGGGATACAAACCGGCAACCTTCCAGCCACAGGCGCAGATCCTTAGCCACAGAGCCAATGCACCACCCCCAGATTCGACTAACAGCAAGGGAATGGGAGGAAGATCGGTCCACCATTGGTATATAATTGGTTGGACATTTACCACTTATGAGAAAATAATCAAGTATCTTAAAGAAACAGTGCAGAGAGAGAGACAAGAAAAGGTCCAGACACTAATCCATTGGAAACACCTGTAGAGAGATGTGGAGGGAGCCACACTGTGAGATCTGGAACAATCAGAGTGAGAGGAGGTCCAGGCCAGATCAATACCAGAGTATCCAAGGTCAGAGAGAGATGGTGGTGTCCGCAACGGTGTCAGACGCTGCTCAAAGGTAAAGAAGAAGAATAGAGGAGGGCAAAACAATGCTGACAGTATTTGTTTTAGGCAAACATTATTAGAGATAATCTTTTGAAAGGTGGAAAGTTCTTTACCTTTTATGTATCTCTATATTTAATTTTACCTTAAAATTTCACTTGTTCACATGATTTGGTTGTATTAGCTCCAGGACAAGAATATATAACCTACCCTTTCCATGCATTATTTTGTATCATTGCGTAGTATTGTTTTATGAACGCTTTCAAATTTGAATTGACAAAAGTTTAATTTTTTTGAATGCAGTAATTATAAAGTGGATTGTGCCTGCCACAAAGGGAACCAGAACTGCCCAGTGCAGAAACACAACTCGAGCCCAATGGAGTTGCTTCCTCCCCCACCCCTCCCCCCAGTGCCCGCCCAGGTGGGGGCAGAGACCAGGCGCAGGAAAGCCCGGCGAAAAGAGCTTGAGGTCGGAAACCAGGGGAGCATGTCGGACGAAAACAGTAACCAGCAGCCAGAGGACCCAAACGATTCCAAAGATCCCCAGGGCACCATTACTGGAACAAGTGACACAGAGGTTTGTTGTGAATAAAATAAATATACTCATTTGATCTGAGACGTATACCTTAGATTTCAGAGTCATCTACATATTATTTTGTGGGATCAATAAATACAATTATACATACATACATCTGAGACAGCGTGTTAAGCAAAAACAGCGATCTCTCTTATACTGTATATAATTGATAATACTTATATTATAGTGAAGTGAGTTGAAGCTAGTTGAATGCAAAGAGGCTGAAATTGATGAGAATAGAACCTTATAACATAAAAAGGGGTACAACAAAACGCTTGAATAGTAAAACCAGTTATTCACAGTGCCCTGGCAGCACTTGCTAAATTAATCTGTAATTCCTGTAAACCCAAACACTTTTCCCAATTTTGCAAGATTTTCAGGCACACCTAAGTGTTAACTCTGCAACATTATAGTTATTTAAATTATAGTCTGCAATGGGACTGTTATCACATGAGCCAAACAGGAATTTCCATATTCACTTCGATTTATGTAGTTTGTAGCACATTTTCTTTTCATTTCTGACTGGAGTCTTTTAAGGAACAGCTGAAAGATCCTCAGATCAGTTAGCAGTTCGAAACAATCTAAATGACCCAAAAGTCCTCGTCTCAATTCGTGGCCTTTCTTAAGTTCAATCTTATAAGTGTGCATGACTCCTGCTAATTATCTTTTCCTGCTGTTTCAAAAGCCCTGTTTTGCATTTTCTTTGTGATTTCAGTCGCGTGAAGACCGGAAGGCAGAGGCAATCATGCATGTTTTTGAGAATTTAGAGAAAAGGAGAAGAAGGAATATTCAGAGTCAGGACAGGTGCCTCACTGCTTCTGGTGCAACTTCCAGTCCAGTAATACCAGTGGCTGAGGAGCCTAAACTGGAAACCCTTGAGTCCGAGGATACCAGCATCCCTTCAGGTGGGACACAGCCCCCCCAGAACAGTGGGGTTGGAGTCAGCACACGACGTTCCTCCTACAACATGGTGAGTGCCTGCTCTCTTCTGTTACTGTTGTGCTTCTGAACATTAATGAATGCTTCTGCACGTCCCGCAAAATATCTGATTTTTAAGTATTTGATCATAATTGGCTGAGTGCCACCAGGTTTAGGGGTGGGATTAGCTGAAAAGGGTTCTCTCAGCTCGGCAAACCTAAAGAATTCCTGGTGCCTGTTGTGCAGTTACTGAGGATCACACCTTTGCACTGGGATGCATAGCCTATGATCTGTTAAAAGCTCTAAGATGGACAGGTCGAAAGAGGCTGCCTACACTTCCTCTTTCTCCAAAGGTGTGCCAACTGGGTTGACTCCTGTGACCCAAGATACAATAAGCGCAACTAGTGATTCTCGATTTTTCGCATTGACTGTCACTTTCTGGTAGGTATTCTCAAAAGGGGACGCAGCTTATTTTTCAAACAAGTAATTTAAGGAAAAAAATGTACCTCTCCACAGTGATTCTAAATTTAGTGTCTGTCATCGCAACTACATTTTGGACATAGTACATCTCTTTAAAGATTTCACGAACATCGGCTATGCTACAAATTACATTCATTATTTGTGTTACATTGTAGTCAGTGTTAATCACAACAAAGCGTAGATGCATAACAAATGACCAAATGCAGAAACGTTAAGGGAGTTGACGTTTAGGGAGGTGGCATGGTGAGGCAGTGGTTAGCATTGCTAGCTCTGGATTCAATTCCAGACCTGGGGTGCTATCTGCTTGTGATTTGTATGCTCACCCAAAGTTCATATGGGGTTCCTCTGGATGCTCTGGTTTTTCCCCCAATTTTGCTTTTGAGACAATTGGCCCTGGTTTGAGTGTGTGTCTGTCCTGTGTGCTGGGTGTACCTTGCTGGTTTAGGTTCCGGCTTCCCTGTGACCCTGAATTGGAAGAAGCGATTGGAAAACGAATGGATGGATAAGTTGAGGGAACACCTGCTTTTACTCCTTGTGTTTCTTTTCTCTCCCCCCAGGAAACAACTCCCGTAGTGGAAAAGGCTCCTGCCAAGCCAGCTCCAGCCAAAACCTCGAAGCCGAGGCCCAAGAGCCGCATGTCCCGATACCGCTCCAGTTCTTCCCAGCGTGCCCGGCGCCAGCGCCAGGCCCTGGCGCAGCAGGCAGCGGAGCACAGCCAGGGGGTGTCAGAGGAGGGCATTCCTGGGGGTCCTGGGGCTGAACCTGGGGCTGCCGAGGGGGTTTTGACAAGTGGTCAGCCCCCAGATTCAGACGGAACAGGGGGTGCAGCTTCTGGAGCGCTGGGAAACAAAGGACACCTGCGCTATCCTAAGACTAAAAAGGTAAAATGTGTTTGCCTGTCTCTTTCTGATTTGGGCTTGATATTTTTTTCCTTTGCACTTAATTTGCCCTTTTTTTCGGCATGTAGTCACTATAATTTAGGGTTTTTTAAACCATTTTGAAATCAAATGAGAAAACAATACTTTCTTGGTCTTACACATAATACTTTCTAGCATGAATATTCCAATATCAGCATCTCATAATTTAGCTTTTCCTGCGTTTCCTGCTTCTGACTCACAGAATAATTTTTTGAATGCAGGATGACCGTGAAGACTGCTGCCTTTTTTCCTAAGTTCACAGAAAAAAAAATAATATTTGATGTCCTCCTTTTCTGCAGTACCTGGTTACTGAATGGCTAAATGATAAGGTAATGGAGAAGCCTGAATGTCCAATTGACCGACCTCTGCGGATTACCACAGACCCGACAGTGCTGGCCACTACTTTGAACATGCTTCCTGGTCTCACCCACTCACCTCTCATCTGCACTACCCCCAAACACTACATTCGTTTCGGCTCACCATTCACTCCCGAGAGACGCAGGCGTCCTGTTATCGTGGATGGCACTTACGGCTCCTTTAAAAAGGTGAGTCCCTTGAGCGGAGTGTCTAAGCCTGTTAAAAACAGTTTTTGTGCAGCAAACGATTACCATTACACACTTCTGCTCTGTGATGATGAGCAGTGCATCCTGCTTATGATGATGAATCAGGTGAATAGAGGCTTCACACAGGAAGAAAAAAGTTTGGACAGGCCTAATTCAGCTGCATGGGGTGAGATCTCATGCTGGTGCATCTTGGTGGCAAATAGAGACTGTATTCTGTCTCCAGTGGCAGGATGCTTAAAAGTGGGGTGAACAGAGTGAACAAAACCTGAGGGGTGTAAGATTTAGTTAGGAACTCCTATTTCTGTGTGCAGTTTTATCCTTGTGTTAACTGCATCTTAATCTGGAGCCACCCTATTTAGAAAATAGTAAATAGAACCCTCCCATTAAGAACTTGAGTTTCTTGTTTTGTAACTGTTATCTACGAAACTTTCCCCCAGTCTTAAATGTTTGGAAGGAAATGTGGGAAAAAATGTGAGTTAGGAACATTCTGTAATACACAGTTACAATATGTTCTTATATTAATATATAATGGTATCAGTGTGGCCTCTGATATGTTTTTATTTTATTTATTTGGTTTTGCACTTGTGTAATACCTATGGTAGAATATTGATTTGATCTGTGGAACTTAAAATGTTCAACAGAGATCTGATTTTCCATTCATCTATGAAGATTTACTTTGCAAGCATACACATGCTTACACCAGGGCTGGTTTTCCCAGAAACCAATTAACCTACCAGTCTCCAATTGAACCCAGGGCCCCAGTGCTGTGAGGCATCAGTACTAACCACTGCATCACCTTGCTGTGCATTTGCATGTACATCTTCATTTATTTTTAAATGTCATAGAAGTGTGTGAAAATGGAACAATGATTTAAGATATTTTGAGCATAAACTGTGCCACAATGTTTGCTTAAATGATTAAAATGTATGTTATAATTACAAATTAAAACTTTATAGCGTTGGATCAAGCAAGCTTTGGATGAAGGCATGTCTTCAAAGAATGCAGAGAATGGGACAGAATCAAACTCCTCACACCAAAGTAGTAGCATCAGCAGTAACAGTTCCAACTCGGGTGACACAGGTATGTGAGGCTTAATAATGTTTTAACCTTCTGCAATTACATCTTGTTATTTTGTTTTTAGAATAATAGGCAACAGGATTACTATTTTTTTTCCTTTTTGGAAGCATTAGCAAACGTATTAGTGGCCTACTCTGCTCAAGGGATTCTCATAGCGTTCTACCATCTGGTTTTAGTTTCAGTTTTTGTATCATGCTCTGTAAACTTGCCCATTGTGAAAGCCTTTTTGTTCAGAGGAAAGCCTAGTTGGATACCGTGCGTCATGGCAGGGAATACTTCTTGGCTCTGCATCATTGTTTTAGTGTTAATACAATAGTAAACTATTTGAATGTTTTCTCTCATGCATATTCCTTATTTTTATTTCCCTGAGGAGTGTAAAACATTCTTTTTTTTTTACCTTCTTAAGAACTGACAGCCCCCTTTAAGAAACGGAAGTCCAAGTTCACCCCAGAGGTGAACGCCGCAGACCTGCTCCAGCCGCTGTCGCCAATCACCCCACCCCCGCCCTCCTCGGACACCATGAGCCCTCTGCTGGCTGCATCCTGCGCTCTCATGTTGGATGAAGAAGAGAGGCGCAATGGATACAGTCTCCCATACTCTCCCCTTCACTCCCTTTCTGCTAGTCGCTGTAATACCCCATTACAGTTTGAGGTAATTAAAGCAGCCAGGTGTTGTCAGGCAATTACTAACACCGGTGTTCAGGGGGAGGAGGGATTAATGTTTAACTTGATATGTATCTGGGGAATATTTGTCAGAAGGGGTGGCAGAGTTTTTGTATTAGATGTAATGGTGCACTAGATGTATTAGTTGTAGGAATAATGGAGTTCAGTTACACATGCAAAAAGATGTACCTTCATGACCACAAATAAGGATCTGTAGTAGGGAAATGCAGTTCTTTTAGTTTTATTTTTTTATTCTTCCCTAGCATATTAATCGTTATTGAGCTTCATGTACAAAGAGACTGGATTTAAACGTTTATTCAGGTGATGAATCCTACAGTGTACACCACACTTCTGCCATATCTTTTTAATAAGCTTCAGAAGTAATTTTGCTCTGGGATTTAAAAAATATACTTCCAATAAATGCAATTATCCTTCTCATTTTGATGTGAAAAAGGTGGGAAAAGAATTCTAAAACTTGACCATTTTGTGGACAGAAATGCCAAGACAGATCTAAACAGAAGATTCTTATCTGGGTAGCTCTGTATTACAATTTATGCAGTATATTAAAGATGCAAATCTTAAATTGATGTTTTTTTAATTACGAGACTGACACTTACCAGCACATCATGCTTTATTACATTTTAATTTGTAATTATATTATGATTTATACTGCTTATGACTTTTTTGTTTGCTAGTTTCAGTTAAATTTTCATGCTGAATCATTGAAAACTTGCTTTTCAGTTGAAGTCAGTTTTATGGGCCCTTTAATCTAATTGCAATTATTTTCCTTAAAATTGGATTGATATGAGATGTTAAGACAAAAACAAGATCGAAAAGGCTGTGTTGTTTGCAATATTTTGTTAGTTTAGAGGGGGGACAGCTTTATATTAATACTCTGAAATACATACTGGGGGAGAACGCCCATTGTTTAATTTCATATCAGATGAGATTATCATGTTTATTTTCATTATATGCATTATCATTGTTTTACACCTTTAAAAATGCAATTACTTTAAACAACTTTAAATTTTATTTTTTTATCTACTTTTTAAATATTTGCTTAACATTATGCCACGGCTTTGGAGAATTTGGTTAGTAAGCAATACAAACATGTAGTTTGTATCCAATTTTAATTTGCCAATTAAAATATTGAACTAATTTTTACATTCCAAGCCAAAAAGTCTCAGGTTTATTAAAACTGATTGTGAAAATTCAGAACCGATGCAAAAACAATTTATGTGCTATATTTTCTGAATTTTAAGTCAGTGGTATTTCCACTGGCTTTTCTCTGCGCCTTTGAATCACTAAATAGGTATTAAGCTTTGCTTTATTTCCATGTTCAATAAGTGATTTTCTAACCAAATAATTTTCGTTTTGCTTTCGAAAGCTGTGGCATTATCTTCCTTTTTTTTGCTTTTATTTGCTGCCTTGACTTTTTATTTAAAAAAAATAACAAGTTGCTTTTCCCTTCTCTAGAACATATCCTCCCCTGAGAGTTCCCCTGCGCATAGGCCCGAGTCCCTGTCACCAGAGGTAGTTATCGCAGCATCTTGCTTAGAACCACAGGAAAAGAAATGTAGCAAGGCAGCTGGGAGGGGGTAATCAAGCAAGCAGATGATTTTGGGGGCTTGTTATTTGTCTTTTCATAGTGCATGGTTTTCTTTACTTCTGTTACACATCTATGCATGGATAAATTCACATTTCATTGCTGAGCTAAGGTACAACACTGTGTGTTGCGGGGGGGAGTGTCCATGAGCATCAAGAACAGCAGACTTGAATAAAGTCTACAATAAAGTGCTACCTACTGTTCTAAAACCAGGCTCCCTTAGTCCCTTAGTCCATTGTTTTTTCTATTGGGTCTACCTGTTAAATCTGTATTGTGTTTTAATCCAGCACAGGCATTCTGAAAAACAATGCTGGTAGGATACTCTGGTTTTACCCCCTGCAAGGGTATGTTTGTGAGACTCTAAAAAGTAAGCTTAACATTAGGGAACCTGGTTTTGAGAAGGCAGAGCACAAATTCTGAATTCCCACCGAAACCTTGCATCTTAGATTTTGTGTGATTACATTTGTAGTGGAGCCTTAATTATTTAGCATTCATGCAAGCATTTGCGTCACTTGCTCACAGATTGCAATACATGTGCAAGTTCTGCAATTTCAGCATTATAAGCAATTCAGTAGAACTGGTAACAGCTCTTATTGACTTTTAGGGTGTTTATAGTTCTGCTGCTGTATATTTTGTTTCAGAGCATGTTAAATAAATATTATAGGTGTTAAAATCAAATTCTTACAGATTTGGGCAGATTAACGATAATCGGAATTATTTTGTGATGGATTTAAACTGAATTAATAGATTATTCATTTTTAGTTGAGAAAAGGGGAATGTATTTTTGCTGCAAACGTCAAAGGTATATCCTGTATATTTATTTAACATCCTTCTTTTCAAGCTACTGGGTTTTCAGTGTCTGCAGAAAATTAATCTGCATGTGCCATTCTGATTCAAATGTACTAATTTTTATGCTGAAAATTTCGTTGTGAAAATAAGGATTGTTTAAAAAAGGAATACTTTAAGATCAGTTTATCTGTTTAGCTTGGTCAGTGCTAGTGTTTTACAGTTATTTCTCTTTCGGTACAGTTACATCATCTTTTTTTACACATTTCATATCTTTCAATATGAAGCACTTGAAGAAGCTTTGTGGACATACTGAATACATGTAACATAGAAATAGTCATACAAAATCGAACAGTTTTTGCTTCTCATACTCAATTTCCAACATTGAATTGTACACACGTTTCCTTAAGGTCATTGCTGTTTTCTGGCAATTCAAAAGATGCTTATTCTGTTTACTACTGGAATAAGCGTACTAGATGCTATTTTCTGTGGTATCTATGTTTAATATAAAATTTATTGGAGTATTTGTTTTCAATTTTGCTGATTTTATACATTATTTTTATATACAAATACAGTACATTTAATTGCCAATATAAAACAGAGAAATGTTGATGCCACTAATATATTTGCTGTGCACAGCTTGCTTTTTTCCCCTATACATATGGCAAATGTTCCTCAAAAATAACGGTTTAAAGAAATTAGCATAAGGGGGACACTGAACTTTGCAGTTTAGTTTATTTTCACTTAATTCCTAGAGACAACATTTTTTCTATATATAAATCCAGGACCAGGTAGTTGTCTTGCATAACACAGTTTAACATTAAGTAATGGAAACCCATGAGGTGTCAGGAAGTTTGACAATATCTGTTTTGTTTTTCAGCCTTGCCTACGAGCAGATTTTGATCCATCCCGGGTTGTTTATCCTGAGCTTTCCCTTTCTACCAGTTTGGAGAGCCCTGTGCTCCCAGCCACAGGAGGATCTGAGGAGTTTGCTCCTGTGCAGGATCCCCTGGGTGCTCCTGGCCCTCTGAGTGGGGTGTCTGATGCAGTGTTTGGTGGCAGGAGTCTGGATAGCCAGGCACAGACAAGAGAGCAAGCCCTGAGAACGGAGTTTAATCTCATATATGCCTGTTCACCATTGAATGCTAATCTGGGATCAGGAAACCTCACAGAGGGAATAGGCAGGGGCTGTGCTGGCGACAGGAGACAGTCACTATCAGAAGGGAGTTTCTCGCCTGGAGAATCATTTTTTGGTCGGACAAGCCAGTGCCTCCTGTCTGAACCAGGTCAAGATTCGATGTCACCTTATGGAGACAGACAGTATGGTTACCCTGACAGTGGGACACCCCCTCATCCTCATAACCCACCACAGAAAAAGAAGGCAAGTCCATTATGAAGTGTACTTATTGCTTGACATGCACCTCAGGTTGAATTCTTAGCCTGAAGTATATTTAAGGCTACATTTCTGTTTTTAAACATTTCTGTTTGAAATTTAAATACCACCAGTGCATTGTCAATATTTTCAGCATTACTAGTGCATAATAGGACTGTACTGTTTAGATTCACGTCCTTGGGCTTCAGTACTAAATGGTGCATTTCCTCTATTTTTTTAAGGTCTCTCTCTTGGAATATAGAAAGCGGAAACAAGGCGTGAAGGATTGCTTCCCAAGTGAGGTCGTAAATTCAGTGGGCACACCGACCAGACCAAACACTCTTTGTAGCAGCAATGCAGACTCTCCCAGCCTCCAGAGGACAGTTTTGCGGACTCCTGTATCCCCTCAGAGTAGTTTTTCCTCCCCTGTTCACCCATCCATCCCCCAAATTGAGGAGATCAGCCCCCCTGATCCCAACTCTGGCCAGTCCATCAACTCGCAAGCCAAAACCCAGGACACAATCGGTAGCCACTGGTAAGAGCCAGAAAATGGTGAAATGGCATCAATAAGAGCAGGCTGAGACTAGGCTTCACTTCATCTAAGACAAATCTGAGTTTTCTTTGCATACCCAAGACTAAATCTGTGGTCCAGTTTTGTCTTTTTAAAGCTTTTACTTCCTTGCTATTGAACGGTTCTTTCAGGAGGCTAAATGTGTTCCCATGATTGGAAATTATGTAAAAGTATTTCACTGATGCTTGGTGAAAATGTTGTCTGTTTTTAATTACATTTTCAAGTCGAATTGTGGAAGCCAATTTATTGGAACAGTTAATGAGCTGTCAATTTATTGATGAGATTCTTGGTTCAATAACCAAGGGACCCATATAGGACTGAGCTTCCCCTTTTGACCGTTTGCTTTTTATTAACTAAAAAGGCATGCCTTGTTCTATGTAGCCTACAATTGTGATGTTTTGGTATTGCATAACTATTTCAAAAGCTCACATTTTAATTTTTGGGCGAATCTGGCAGCCAGATAAAATAACTGGTGGGCAGCCCAACTCCTGTGAGGTTTGAAGCAAAGTGTGGGGGGTTTGTGGCACTGCTCTCACTGATGCCTCCTGTGCCAGGATGGTTCCCACGTTAGTGGAGAGACTGCGAGAGGGCCACGGAGTGCTGGAGAGGGTCCTCCGAGGCATGAAGATGGAGCGGGCGCCGAAGCGAGCGGAGTACAGCTCGGGAGACAAAGACTCGGGTGTGTGCAAGAGCTCGCGACGAAGCTGACGCCGAACGCTCGGTCGCCCTCTCTCACACTTTGCTTATAATCTTGCAGCCAGCTGTCACACATTTCAAATCTTTGTTGTGTTCTTTATCTGCACTTGTATGCATCTCTTCGGGTTAGTGTGGCATACCACCCTGACCATATCTTGCTAGGAGGTACATTATGGTATGATCTCATCCATCTCGCTGTGGTAATTAAAATCATTGTTTCAACCTAGTGTTAGAACACATTTATCAAGCTAGGAGTACCTCTCTTGAGACAATTGAGTTCTTCCTCTTTTTACCCTAAGAGGCTATCATATTACTATGGTGTAGAAATTTAAATGTTTTAGTGCGAGAAAACAGAATTAATATTTATTTTGAAATTTGAATCCTAGTTTTATGTTCATGTATGTATTTCAAAATTGTAGCTTCTAGGTGAACTTGAATACTCTTCTTTTTAAAATATGTTTAATATATAATCATGATTCAGTCACAATTGGATAATTTATTTCTTCATTCTTAAAATATTGCTGTAGTGTAATTTATATTCATTACATGGTTTTTCCTTTAACTTCTGACAGTTCATATATATATATATTTTGTTGACTCTCCAAGTGTTACTACTGTCTGTTTCACATTTCATATCATTTGCGCCTTCAGATTAGACCACTGGTTATTCAGAGGTCATAAAATATTCTAGATAGAGCCATTATCATAAAGCAGACCCATTTAGCTGTCACGCACTTTTCAAGTGTTAAATCTAACACATTGTAAGTGTCGGTTCATCTAAATCCTGGTGTTTTGCAATACATGACTTAATTTTAAAGTGGGTTTATTTGCAGTGGGAATCTTCTCTGAGTAGGAGCTGCGGCACTGTTTTTAATTATCGTGGTCAACATGAGCAGGAGTTCTGTCGGTTCACTTCGCTGGTTTATTTGGGGTTTTTCTTGTAGATCCTAATGAAGGCGAGTGCTTTGAGATGCAGACGGTTTCCCACTCTCAAGGATCCCCCATCCACAGCCCTCAGAGATACAGCCACAGTCCCTCGCTATACAGCCACCAGGTAACGTGTCCGTTTAACAACCGTGAGCAGGCTGTTCTTTAATGGAGGATCCAGGTGGATGCTGCACATTGGTGGTGGTGGAGGGGAGACCCCATTACCTGTAAAGCGCTTTGAGTGGAGTGTCCAGAAAAAGTGCTATATAAGTATAAGCAATTATTATTATTATTATTATTTGCGTCTAGTTAGAGAAATACTGATTGAAGGATTACAACATACTTTCATTTCCCTTTTGCCATTTATTGGCCCACCATTTGAATATTCTTATTTTTGTTCTTTGCGTCCTGCAGTTGCAGCCACTTTCTGACGGGCACCAGGCTGAAACACCAGCTTTTCTCCAGCAGAACATGTCACCATTCCGAGGTCACGGCAGCTCCTACAGCCATTCCTTGCCTTCGCCTGGACATGGCTACAGGTCTTCACACACTCTGACCCAAGTGACCACAATCCAGGATGTGCCCCAGCAGTCTGCGTCCTACACCAGCCCCGCCAGCTCCTCCTCTTCCTCTTTGGACTCGTCTGTGGCTAGCCTGAGTGGAAATTCTCGGCATACAAGTAGCAGCCAACATCTTTCTGGGATTACCATGCATTCGTTCAGTGGGAGCCCTTTAAAGGCAGGCCTGTATAATAGCCTGACCATGGCAGTTCCTGCCTCCCCGTTATCCCAAGGCAACTCTAAAACTGTTACTACAGATTCCGGTGTGGCTTTGACAGTCACCAATGCTGCTTCAGTTAACCCAACCTCAGTTTCTCATAGCTCCAGACTGTCTCAGTCTGGGTTACGAACCTTAAGCCCTAGCAGTTCCGGGCAGACTGTGTTACCAACACAGCACTACCAACAACGCACGACTACCATCAACCAATTCCAGCACCAACAAATCCAGGGATCCGGAGTAAGGACTCAGTCGGGAAGCTATTAGACATTATGTAATTAACCTGTGGAGTCTTTGGGGAAATATAAACAAGGATCAAGGACTGGATTGCAACCAGGACCCATAGACTTAGCCTTTTGGCATTAGTACACATGGGCCTTGATGATGTCAAAGGATTAAGAAAACGATCATATACAAATTGAAATAAAATCCTTCTGTTCCCACAAATGTACAGTGCACAAAGAGAAAAATAATGCAAAGTTATTGCAAGTACCTGTTGTTTAGGTACTTTAAAAAGCAGAAATAACTCAAAGGAGTTTCAGTTAGGTATCTATGATTTGGTTTATAACCAAAATATTAGTCAAGTCGTGCAGTAAAGACAATGTTTTTATATGTAAAGTTGAAAGAAAAATATATTTGTATCATCGGTTATAAAGATGCAGGGGAATTTGACGGCACGAGAAGATTAGCTCCTATAGACGATCATTCCATATGATTGCCAGCTTTTTCTCACACAATTATACTGTAATATTCTGGAGTTAGAATTTTTTTTATTTATCTAATTTTAATTTCAGTTATAACCATTCTAGGCTAGCTATAAAGTACATGACTCGTTCAAACATTATAATCCACGGTGCTGCAGTGACACTTTGATCTTTTCCACACATTCATGCTGTGAGTCCCTCAATATCTTTTTAATTGGAAATAGATTTTTTTTTAATTTATAGTGACTGTTACAAACTTTCCAGATGTTTATATGATTGTGGATAGAGGGGGGAACAGGTTTTGAAACCTCTCATGTGGAGGTTTTTGGCAATTCAGATTAATAACTTTTGTCTCATCCCCCCCCCCCCACCTCAAACCACGCCATCCTACACAGTACAATGTAAAAGCAAAGGGTTATTTGGATTAAAGCTGCTGTCTCCTCTTTTTTGTGCTGCTTCGAACAGAACAGATTAGATTCCTCGGCATTTGATTGAACAGCGTACATGGAAATTCCAAAGTGGTGTACTCTGAGTATTGGGGACAATTGAAAATGCTAAAATTGTCACCCATGATCAACAAGACAAATCCATTTGACTCAGAATCATGACGGTTTATCCAAATGAGGGTTTGTTCTTTACCTGTTTGACAAAGGAATGACCAGTACAGAAATTGTTAATTGGTAAAGAGAATATGGGTGCTAATATTTGATTATTGTATTTAGCCTGAATGATATATATATATAGTCAAGCACCTCGGCTTTTTGTTATGTGGTCATCTATCTCCTATGGATGTAGAAAAAGGGTACTTATTGGTTACATGAATGTTCTCATGGTGGAATATTTCAGCAACTTTGAGACTCCTCCGTGACCCAAATACCAGCACCTTAATTAAATCCATTATGTATGATTGTGTACATGTATCAATGTGTTATATACTGTAGGTAGAAATATAGTACACTAAATTTCCAGCACCTTCTCCAGTTTCGTTCTGAGGGTTAAAAACTGAAGGAAATGGAAACTGCGCTGAATCGACAGACTTCTTTTGTTGTTTTTTTTTCCAATTGTAGTACCTGACAGACAGTACTTTAAAAGAGGATACTGCATTTTTAAGTCAAAACATGTTTTTACACAGAGCTATAACCATTTGGACTTTCCAGAAAAGAAGATATGTAATAATTTTTGATAATAAAATACTCATGGTGATAATCAATCATATTTTGAAAATGACAGTTTTGGTATTTTTTTCTAGTAACTTTTTAATGCAGAAATACTGAAACCGTAAGATGCATTATTCACAATATTACTTGACAATTCTACTGGGTTTTTGTATTTTTATTCTTCTCAGTTGTGTCATGATGCAATTCAGAATTCTCAGTCTACTCATCAGGAAGCTTTTTTTCTAAAACTGTCTATCCAAAAGGTTTTTGGGTTACCAGCACTAAGGCCTAACCAACACATATGCTGATGTGAGATGTTTCCAACCCTAATCCCTGACCCACACACATGGGTTTTGTTTCCAGATGAGCTCTGTTATGTAACTGGCTTTTAATAAGTCTTTTTCAGTTTCTGATCATTTTGGAGTTTGCCTTTTAAATATTGCATTGCATAAATAACCCGAGATTGACTTGTTAGTTCAGTTGATCGGTTAACAAAATAAAGAGCTCAATTGGATTTTTTCAGTTTTTACACAGAGCTATAACCATTTGGACTGTCCAGAAAAGAAATATCATTAATGTAATGTAATGACATAACTTTCAAACATAACCAGCCCTTTCCTGGAGAGCCAATGTGTCTGCATACACCTGAATATAATGGAAAAGTTGTTAAAATTGTTCAGTTATTCCAGTAATGAGCTGCTGAACCGGAATGTTTTGTACCTTTGCAGCAGTTGGTCTATTTATCAGAGCACATCAAGATTGGTTTTGTCAAACAGAATTTAATGGCAGAGTTTTTCTTTGAAGAGTGTTTATGGTTTTGCTGTCTTGTTATAGTTTGAAAATGTGATAATTGACTGTTTTCCCAAGAGGCAGTGACGGACAAAATCCTGCAGTACATGTGCTGGCACATAAGCCATTTCATTAAGAGAAAAAAATGAATATTTTATGACCAGCACCAGTTTTTGAATAGTCCTGTGGATTACCATCTGTGCTCTTGTTTTTTTTCTCATACTATTTGCAAGTGATTGCATGTGCAGCATATGGAAGTACTCCATAAAATTAGACTACCAGTAATTTATCTATTTGACAGTATTCCAGGATTTTCACTTACAGATTTCACAAATCTCTGGAACATACACTACCGCTGTAGATTTGCATGCTACTGTGCATTACTTCTAGGTGTTTGGATATTAAAATCTTTATATTTAGGTTAGGAAGATTGACACAAATTATCTTCCTGATGTTGCTTGATTCAACTAAGCTCTGCAAACCAATACTTTTTATTATTAGTTCTGCAGTCTAACTGATCTCCAGTTCAGCAACTTTTTATATTTTACTTGGACATTGTTTCATATGGCCATTCCAGTGCTTTATCTCCCCCATAAGGTATACTGCTGCAGCATAGAAACTGCGCAAATTGCACTCAAGTATATTTTTGTCATATTTTCACTTCCATTGAGAATGTGGTAAAATCAATTAGCAATTAGCTATGATCCCATCTCACAATGAAACCATTTGACTAATCCAGCACGAATGTGTGTACTGTAGATCGAGCGGTTGTCTCGGGTGGAACACCAAACCATTTCAAGTCTGAGGTATGGAAATATTTTTAATACCATGTTGAATGCTTATAATTAAATAAGGCCAGTTACATTCAGATGTTTGTTTTTATAAAAGTCATGCTAGATGCTCATCATGCTGTCAACATGCAGTAACCTTATTTTGCATACAGAAATGATAGCAGTCCCACTATTACCTCAGGTTCAGTTTAGGACAGTCTCAGTTGAACTTTAAAACAACACATCATACTTGTACATAAGGACAGCACAATTGCTTTATTAATAGAATATACAGCTGCTTGCCAAGAGTCCTAACAGCTACGATAATTACAATTCTACTTGCTTGGTTAACTTCAAAAGTAAAATCACAGTTTTCTGTGAGATCAGTACTGGAAACTGGGCTTCAAAGACGTACAGGTTTGTTCGTAAGTCTGGTGAGAACAGCATAGCTTCACCCAATCCAGCTGTAAGGTCTGCATTCGGTCTCAGGGTTTTTTCTGTAGACTACCCGGTAGCCACACTCTGCACGTATGCGCTGGCATTTGTTTGGCCAGGAGGTGGGTATCATTGGTCTGCAAATAACAATGTAAATGAATTAGGGAGACTAAACTTAATTGGGTATTTAATGTCACACAAATGTGGAAACATTTAGAAACACCATCGTAAATATGTTTTTTTTTTAAGTGATCTCCATTAAGCCAAAGTATGGGTAAGGTTATAGATAAGCTGCATACCCTTCACTTACAGAACAAGTCTCTTAAAACCCACTTTCTAACGTGTTAACTTTTTTTTTGCATGCTCTGTCAATATATTGTAGTAATATGGTGGTCCATTGGTTTGTACTGGCATTTTAACAAAGACTGCCAAATGCATTGCCAGTATTCTAAAGCATTTCAGTTTACAACTTGGAGCAGTTGCCTGGATATACTGTGTTTGACTGGGTGCTCAATACAAGACTTACTGGAAGCAAGTGAATCCCTTTTCATGACAGTAACACTTGTCACATCCCCTGGAGAATGTCTGTCCTGGTTTGAAAAGTTTTTCCTTGTGCCTGCATTTGCCTGAAATGTGAAAGAAGCAGAAGAAAACAATTTGTCCTTACACTCTTCAAAATGTGAACCAAAAAGCATACATTAATGCACTATTTTTAAACAGTACAAAATCACTATGATCCCATGGCTTGTTAAAGTGAACGTTCCTAAGAGACCAATTGCACACATTCTTTAATTCTTTACAGTACAAACTATGGTATTGTAAGTCAAGTGTGAAAGTTTAATAAAAAATGGAGAGAACTACAGTAATTGAAGTTCAGGTGGGTAGCTGCGTCACACCTGAAGAAGGCTCCACGGCCAAAATGTTGTGTTCTCTTTCTTCTTTTTTTCAGCATGGAATAAACCTATTACTTGTTCCTTTACAGTAATTGAAGCTCACAATTACCATCTGAATTTACCATGGTAAACTCAAAGAAATATATCTACTTACGGTATTGTTCTGCTATAACCTAATGCAATTCAAGGTTCTGTAATTAAAGTTTAACATTATTGAGCAGCTCTCTTTGGCCAACTAGTGTGGCATAAACTGTTAAATATACCTGATCGATTAATACAGGTTTTGCAGATCTTTTCTATTCCTCTCAAGAATCTAACCAGGCTGCTTCAAGAATCACAGTGATTGTCATGCATTGTCCTTGACACCAGAGGGCAGCCACCCATCATTGAGCAGAAAAGCAGAAAGCCTAGAAAACCTGCGTCTGAGGATTTTGTGGGTTTTCCTGTGGTTTATTATGAATAAATTCAAAATTTTGAATAAGCAGGGGACACATTTGAATGTAAATGGAGGGTAATGGAATTGAGTGGAGAGAAAGGAAGACAATTTAACCTACTGTAAGAAATCAGTTTAAAAAAAATATAAAGCCCAGCTTTAGGAGTATTTCCTAGGTCGTAGCAAAACAAATCGGGAGCTGTGCTAAAACTATTCTTACATTACCAAACGTCTTGTGTATGACTTCCTCAAAATCTGGTCAACCTGAAAACAATGTAGTTGCACAGTATTGACCATATTTTTCTTAGAAAACACTTCTAGCAAAAAAAGGATAATGTAGTAACAACTATTACACCTGTAATGATTGTTTTACTTTTGTATCGCAGATTCTCAAATGCCAGCTTGAAATGTAACCTGATGAAGTTTTATTAGTAAGAAGTACCATCGTGTTTCCTTTTGTGGGAATTCATCTTGACCTCTCTCCTTTTCCATATGCTAGGAAGTTGATTGTTTTCAAACGTCCTGCATGGATTAGGGCATTTCATTGGCTATAGTGCAATACAGACGGATACATTTTCATACTTAGTAACTCATTACAAAGCAAGCTCTGAAAATGCAAACGTTAAAGAAACTAGGAATGTGAAACGTTTTGCTGAAATACGTCTAAGCAGTTTAGTGATATCTAAGTCAGCTGTCTAAGACCAACTGAGCTGTAAAATGGAGCCAGCTTGAAGACTGCAGGTCTGCAGTTCCTTCCTACCTGAATGATGGTGAAGAGCAGCTTGTGACATACTGACAGCCCAGATGAGACACAGTGACAAGCCGGTAGCCCACAGTAAAGACAGCCATGTCAGTGGACTCTTCATAGCAGTTCTTGTGCTGGAGAATGAAAGAGCCAAAAATCTGAAGGAAAAGGAAAAAAATGAGGTGCCAAAGAATTAACAAAAGGTAAGGAGCCTCTGTCTCTAATGCTACTGTGTTCAAAATGGGATCACAAAGCCAAAGCAGTCCTGAAGCATTTACCAGTCTTTTAAATGCTTTTTCAGGGAGCCTGTGCATGACTTTATACCCCCCTGAACACCTGGAATGGGAAAGTAACTTGTTTGGCACCAAAAAAGTGAACACAATGTTCCTGTTATTTTAACTTTTTTCTAGGGGTTTATAACTTGAACCACACACTCCTCCTCCTCTTTCATTGCCTCTGCTTCTCCAAGGTTTTTGAGCACCTCTCATGGGAAAGCAATAATTTCACATTTGGGTTTGTTTCGTGCAGTTTTCCTTGGAACATGTGGGGAAGTGTCAATTGGAATGTTGGCCATTTCCTTGTTCCTCACATCTCCTTTTAATGTCTGGAAATTACTGGGAGTGGTGCTCCTTGTACTGACCACCACAGAGACTATTCCAACACCATCAGTGACCCACCCAGTACATCATTATATCAATTCAAACCTTTCTTTCAGGAGAGAAATTCCTTTGATGACTGAGGAGTGAAACAAGATCTTGAGAGAAAAACTGTACGTTTATTAGTTTGTTGGCAAACTTACCTCTATAAAATTTCTGACCATGCACAGCAAAGTGGGACAGTTGTGATCAGAAGTCCACAACTTCCCTCAGTCGCAACCTGAATTTCTTGCTCAACACCTGGTTTGATATTGTTGCAATTTAAGTTACTTCCAATTGTGAGTTGTTCAGCTCAAATGCGGATTCAAGAAGTTGAAGGTTTTATGTGAAAGCAATGGGTGTTGTCCTATGACATCAATATTCTTAAATTTTATAATATGACTTTTGTTTATGGGTGGAGATACCACTGTGTTTACAAAAAAAATACATTACAACTAAATATTATTCTTAATGTCACTCTAAATGTGTTCGCTAAATCTGTCATCTCTGGTTAGCCGTGACACACAACAAAATAGCTGAAAAGGGACAGCGTAAAAGAAAATGTTCGATTTAACATGAGGGTGACCAGAAAAAACCCGTAAAATTTATTTCTCCCTGCGAATTCTGCAAGACCTATACAAGATTTTTTTCCTTTGCAAATGGATTAGTAATCTGCAGTGAACAACACACCTTTCAAAATTTTCAGTCATGCTTTAGTATTACTGAAAATTTTATGTTTAATACTGATAAAGTGATGAGAGCCCATCCAAACGTTTATGTGCTGACAGTATACATATCATCCCTTGGAATAACAGCCTGGATCAGGCTGTTTATCACCAGACTTGCAGGTGTGTGTGTTTGTGATTGCTCTGTGTTGTGCTCAGTCTTTTGCTTGCACTGTATTAGCTCTGTGCTGCAGCTGCTTCTTTAAACTTCAGTGCGGGCTAGGCAGGGTTTGTCCAATTTCATCTCTAGGCATCCTCACCCCACCTTAAACCAGTGTGTTTTCATTTCACCACAGCAGACGCGTACACATTCTGGGCCCCACCCAGGCCCTCGCCAATGAAGTCAGACATTCGCTGGCTCGCCACAGAGAGCGCAGTCTGGCACAGTTTGTTCCTCAAGAATCCGGGCAGACGAAAAATAAACGCAGAGCCCCGAGCAAAACTCCCAGGTAATGTCAGCCTCTGGCCACCATCTATTCTAACTGTTCTTGGGGACTGGTTACCCTCCCCATCATTCTAGTTTAAATAATTAATATGGACATATTGAAATGTGGAATACCTGAGGGACATGTTAACACTTAAATGATCTCTCACCCTCTCACAACAACTCAGACTATGCTCTTTATCTTCCAAATCATGCAACAAATATACCTTCTTCACCATTGCCATGACAATTATGTGCTCTTCAGGATTTTACATTTAGTTGCATTTTACATTGTTATACAACAACCATCAATCTTTCACCTGTTTTCCAAAACAGTACAATTACCTAGAAAAATTATATTTAAATTCACAACAAGGACATTACAGGAAAATCAATAATTATCCACTGAACTCATGTAAAAGAAAGTTTAATTTCCAGAATAGTTTATTACACATCACCTGCAGGAATATTCACTTTTTTATTAAACAGGTTAGGTAGCTACAGGTCTGCTTTATTAAATCATTATTTACAATGATATTAACAAAGAACAAGACTGTCCTTAAAACAAAAAAAAAATCTGTTTTCAGTGCTCATTGCAGAGCCTGCTCTACACAATTAAATTTTTACAGTCTACCAATAACATTAAGGTGTCCCCTCAAATTATTTTTACACTAAAGCATGGAAAATACAATGAAATTGTGTACTTGGGAAGGCAAGTTCTAGATTAGTTGAATGTGTACTGTAATGTTTGGGTTTTACAGACCAGAAGTGACATTTTTCTCACCTTGGTAATGAAGACTAGCCAACTAAAAGAACCAATTTCTGAAATGTAACAAGCAAACTTCATGTATCCATTAAAATGTAAATGAAGACATTTTTCTGCTCGTTCCACAGGACACTTGAATGGTTGTTTAATGTTTAGATCTAATTCTATGTACCTTTGTTACAAGTTTGACATTTTTGGTCACTGCATTAAAAAAAAAAAAGAGAGAAGTGCAATACACAATATCAGTACCAAAAACATTCATCAGTACATCGCTATTCTGAGGATAAACTACCACAGCACTGTATCTCACCAAATTCCTCCACCCACCAGGGGACCTTATTTCAGTAGTGTCTTTCATATGTTAAGGTGAGAAAAATTAGCACTAGATCTGTTCTAGAATGTTCTTTTCATTAGAGTAAATTAGTGTCTCGTTTTACAGTCCGGAATTATTTGTTAAACTGATTTGGTAGTTCAGTGATGCGAGCCTTGGTTCACTAAGCACCTTTCTAGATGCATTAAAGCACAAATACAGGAATCTGTACACTTAATTTTCCACCTTTAGAACACCATGCAACTCTTCACAATTTTATTAGGCAATACCATGGTCAGCGAGGTTTACGGTCTCGAAAGGCCAATACAGCTTCAAATTTAAAAATGTATTTTATAATCCTCCAGCATGTTTTAAGTTTGCTGCAACCTCAAATGGGCATTTTAAAAATGCCATCACTACAACAACAGTCTTAAAATTACATTTCAATTATGGGGGGGGGGGCGGTTTGATGTCTTATTTGCTACTTGAAAATGGCAATACCGATATCGGGAAATGTTGAAAAGATTTAGAAATCAATCATGGGAAAAAACTTATCCTGTAACGGTTGTGAATCCTTTCACTATCTGGTAGTCGCTTTACATTTTAGTGGGAGTACAGATTGTTTTAAAAGTTTCACAACTGACATTATAGATTAGCCATCGAGTATACACTCCATTACATACATGTGCAGATTGGTTTTATAGAAATACTCATTTACCAGGAATGTTAAATTCTTGTTTTCTACATCTAAGACGTAACTTTTCCTAAACTGTATTAGAATCTCTTGTCCTCTAGCATGAACTTTTTTACACATAAAAACATTTTACACACAATCTAATGCCCAGTGTGGTGCTTTTAAAGATGAATGCTTACACTGTAGAATGGTTCATAAACCTTTGGTAACACTTGACCCTGTATTGTACACCTCTTCCAGCTGTAACAAAGACATTTTAACTGGAATGCTTGAAAGTCTGGATTCATTCCTAAGCCTTTCTGTAAAAATACTTCCTGTTACCCACTTGTACTTATTCTCAGTATGTTTTGATAACCATCTCTATTCTGTAGAAATAAATAAGTATTAAAATCCTGCACACCCCCCTTCTGTTACTTCAACCATATTTCAAGATAGCCTGTGCAATTCAGTTCCACCTCTCACAGAGTCAAATATCCAAATATTCTTCAATTTGTAACAGACAATCATCACAGCGTTTTAATACAGAAACCCCCTTTTCAGCTCTCATACACAGGTCCAAAATGCAGAACAAGAATCTGTTTTTCTTTCAGAATATTCATTTCATATTTGGATATTTGGGGAATACTCCTTTCGCACAAAACATTTTACCTTAACACTTAGAATAAATACTCAAACATTCTAACCACATATACAGACACAATTAAACATAAAACATGGCAACCAGTATGCTCAGAAGTTTTTAGCATGTGGACTGAATTGTAGCAGTCTTTTAAAATTCTCCTTCTGTACTGACACCTGCTGTTCACAGTTGGAACCACCTATTTGTCATATTTTGTTTTAAAGTAGGTATGCAGTAGGAAGGTATGCTGTTATGAAGTCTCGACTCCGCTCCTCAAAAATAACTTACAGTTTTTTAATTATTTTAGTGACTGATATTAATTGGCCCCAGTAAACGTTAAAAACTAGTTCAATAACCAGTAGAATAAACAATAAACCATTAAACTCATGAATTAAAATTCACTGAATTGGTAACACTGTTCAGATAAAATATGCTAATATATATCTGTGAAATGTAGATTGGATAATTTAATTGAAATGAACAAGTATGTTTTTTGGGGGTTATTACTTAAAAACAAATCAAGATTGAGAATTCAAATGTCAAAATACAAAAGTGAAATATCCTTTCATCAGACATTCTACAATTTGTCTTTTGTGTTTTTCAGACTGAAAAAGCTTTCATTTTTTTATAAAGCTAGGAAATCCCATTTGTCTGGCTAGCCATCTATAATTCAGTTTCATTTCTGGGCTCCAATGTTTACATTCAATTTGGAGATTTTATTTTTTTTCAGCTTGCAATCATCGAGAGTAAAACACTTATAATTTTCATACAATTGGTGCAGTTTACCTTTTTTCCAAACATGTTCTCACTTTGCGTTGAGAATTTTCTGTTTTGTTGCAATAGTTGAGGAATTAGCCACTATTCCTTCTATAACTGCAAGAAGTAGCCTCACAGGCAGTCGTAGCATCAGACTTGACTAGACTAATCTATGTTAACATTAGATAATGCAGTACTAGTGTTCATTACATTTTTATGAAACCACGTCTTTTAATACTGAGTTGTACTGTGTTGTGGTTTCTTACCAGGGCAGATAGAACAGCTTAGCAAAGCAGCCTTTGCATGTGAAAGTTGCTTTTAGCAAGTTTCAAAGAATAACCTAAGATAAGGCCGTGTTGTATGAAAAAGTATTTATTATTGTTAAATTAATCTACAAGAAGTAATTATGAGACCACACTAATTGGAGAATACTCAGTGGTATAACAGGAGTACTATGCTAATTACAGACATGGATGGAAGATATTTCAAAGGCCAAATGCCTGACGTTTTAAATGTGCTTATTTGCTGGAAATGCAAGAGAAAGCAAAAAGCCAGATGAACTGCTGTGGAGATTAGTCTAATGAACTGTGGAAAAAATAAGATGTCAGACTGGAGAGACTAATTGCTCCTACCACAAGAAATGAAATGGACCGTTTCCACCTCCCCATTAGCAAGCACAGCAATCAGTTAGTAGTATTTGAAAGTAAGATCTAGAAGGTTAATATTTTTGAGGATATGGTGTTATAGTACACTATTCATTTCCCAAAACATACCTGTAAACTGCATTTAAATGAAAACTTAAACGCCTATTGAAAATCTAGTGCTAATTATAAATTTGTGCAATTGTACATCCTCAATTCAGAACAGAGGTAAAACAGAATAGAATCTGAAAAGATCCACAGCCAAAATATTTTTTCTTCTGTCTTTTAACATTTTGGCATGGATTTAACCTCCTCTTGCTCCTTTGCTAGTTTCAACACAACCATTTTTAACATCTTTCTGACTTTTTATCTGGACGGAAAAGAGAAGCAGCTTTTCTCTAGCAGAAGAGAGTCAGAGGTTTGTTATGGTACAAGTCAAGAGTACAGTACTTGAAAATGAACATTTTGATCCCACTAACATTTTTTGAAGAAAAATATTCTTTCAGCAACCAATTTAAAACACTGACCCCATAAATCAGAAAACACATGGTTACGAAAAGATAAAGCTGTTTAGATTATGGTTCCATTATTCATGCTACATAGCATCTTTTAAAACATTAGAGGAGGTAGAAATTATGTCAGGTACTGAAACAATTTTACAGTAAAAAGGAGGAATGTTATGTAAGTTACCAAGTAAAATCACAAGGCTTCCTTCGGTTTGGGGTTTTGTTTTTGATTTTCAAACAGAATTGACCAGTGGTTGGAGGCCATATTGATGATCCGTGAAACACTGAATGTTTGCGATGAGAAGAGGGTGACTGATGGGAGAGGTGATTTTTCCAAACTGCCATTTTTTTATTTTAAAGCACAAGCCAAAGACTTGGAGAGACATACAAGTAATCTGAATCAAGTTAAAGGGAGGGAAAAAATGAAAAGTTAACTTGTATCCTGTTATGTTTGTTTAGGAAATTTTGTACCACAGGACAGTCTTTAATGCACCCAAGCATAAGAATGCAATGTGCTTCTTCAAACTTACCTTCAATTTACTACTCTTTTGTGTAAAAGTTCCTAAATCGACAACTCTTTGACGTTTATTTTCTTATTCCTGTTCTATGTCATATTGTTTTCTGCTATACAGGAAACAACGGAACTTAACGAGCCATCTGTCATAAGACATATATGTCCTTTTAAAAAAATAGTAACAATTAAAAAGGCTTTCTTAATGTTGATTAAGGAATATTCCTGTGTAATTGCTTTAATTTTGACTAGCTTCCGAAAAACAAATCACAGCCAGTACTCGCTCCAGCAAATATTCTTAATAATGAGTGAAGGCTTCCTCAGGACTTTAAGATTTATTCTTACTGGTTATGAGATGGGAAGTGTTTTCCTTGCAGCGGTCCTGTAGGGTTCTTGCAGTTTTCCATTTTGTTGGAAGTGCACTAGTAATGGGATGAAAAGTTTGTATTAATCTGTCCACTCTAGCAAAATGCTAAAAACCGGTAAGAGGCAGTAAACGCTAGGATATCCCTCAACAAATCTGTTTCTCATTGTGGAGGATTAAAAAAAAATGAACTCTATCATCTTGGTAGTGCTGAAAATGTTGTATTGGAATAGGATCCCATTCCTGTTTTCAAGGAGAGCTGTTCAGTTCCTCCAGTCCGCAGCAGAGTCAATAACAGAAAGAAGACTCTGTCCCACCAACACAAATCCAGACTTTTCCAGCTCCTCTGTCTTTTCCCTTTCCCCATCTCCCATCACAAGTCAGTGACTTTGTTTTCCACAGCCGCTGCAATCTGCTGAAGCCGGTATCCCAGTTGCATTTTCTGGGCTGTTGGGTCCTCCTCTAGTGCAGTGATGATCTAAGATGGTGGAAAAACAGCACATACACATAAGTCAAGATTTACTTTGTGCATCTTCTTTGTGAGAAACAATCCACATTTAGTGATCTCTTGCTTAACTCTTGGAAATGGACAGAAGACTGTGCTGTAGGAACTACATTAATTGCCACAGTTAATGTTCCCTGCTGTGTCAATGAGCTCACATTTTAGGATCCTACGAATAAAAGAGCAAAATAATATTGAACGAAGAAGCAGCAGAGCATTTAAAGGCAAGAACCAATGCAGGCTTGTAGTTAATGCAGCATTACAAAAGTGGAACATGTGTACAAGTGAAATCATTTCTCAAAACCCTTCGGGATCAATAAAGTCTTATCATCATCATCATCATCATCATCATCATCATCATCATCACCATAAGATGGCAGGGGTTTATGGTAAGAAATAAAGGTGGATTTATAGAGCCTGAGGCCCAATATAACATTATAATTTCGTGAGCATCAGACCAAGCTAAGCAGGAAGTGTTTCTGTCCGGGATGGATCATTTCGGGTTATAATCTATTCAGTTTAAATGCCGTGTTCCTCCAAAAACCAAATGATGACGACCACCTATCCTGCAGACTCCAACAGACAGCTCCCACACATAACCAACATGCCGATTTAAATTCGGAATCCCCCTCAAACCAATACATTTGAGCACCGTCCCCCCCCGCCCCTTTAAAGACAGCAGTTCAAGCTCAGGTGTAAATAATACAAGCCACACATCCTTCTTTTATTATGTTCATTGTTCTTCACCCCCAAGTCACCTCACAGTTACAGCCCTCACAGCTGGCCTACCTCCTCCTCATAACCAGGCTTTTGTCCCTCAGCCACCTGGGCTTCAAAGAACAAATGGAGTTCTATTTGTATGCCTCACGCTAACACACATCGTGCCCTGAGGGTGTTGTCTGCATCTCTGAACAGGCATATATGGTACCAGCAGAAATCCACTCCTTTGTTAATCTTTTGCCATATCCAAAAAGACTTCTGTCTCTCCTTCGTTAAAACTAAAGTCCCCTGGAGAAATGCTCACCTGGTCGTAATATTTGTTGATGTACTTGTATAGTTCATGCAGGGCAACAAGGTAATTCAATTCACCTGAGTAATTCTGAAAGACCAAAGAGAAGGGTTTAGTGCAGCTGTTTCAACTGTAAGACAGGATGAACACTGGTAGAATACAAAAAAAAACCCAAAGATCCCTTTATTTCATGAAAGGAGTGAAAATTATACATTTCTTCACTACCATCATTATTTTGCATATTCTGCTGCTCAGATCATGTGTATATGGCAATCTAAATGGAGATGCCATTGTACACAAAAAATAATCATCCACACCCCTTTTCAGGCTATGTCAGAACTAGCCTAAGCACAAGGTTGAATACATTGTTAAGAAGCTAAATGTTTCTCTCTATAGAGTGCTATTGTCACAAGCTATAAATAAATACTATACATACTCTGGACAGCTCTGCTAAAGCCGAGTTCATCTCCTGGTCACTTGCAGAGATTGTTTGTCTGATATCAGCATAGTACCTGGAAAGAAAACCAAACTGAAGTAAGATGAAGCTGCAGAACCTTTATGTCAAGAGGATTCCGAAATCTAAACGAAGTCTGGCTCATTCTTCCGTGTTCCAGACAATTGAGACAATCACTTTTACCCTATTGGCCTGATTTTCAATGGACCTGGGAAAAGACTAAAATATGACTGATTTCAGATTTATTTTCTTTTACTGTAGGTCCAAAAGAAATTATGCTTTTATCCATTCCTACTGAACTGCTCTCCAGAACAGGATCCCACACCTATGTCACAGCTGTACGAAATTGGTATAGTTATTTTCCTATAAGTCACTGAATCTGTCACTAACACAACGTGTCACAATTAGCCCCAGACTAACTGTTCATTAACTCCCCACCTACAGCATGCTGAGTGCCCAGATTAATGCTCAATGTTTAACTGGGCAGTTGAGTGAACCCTTACCTTTCCACCATCTGTTTGTACCGTGGGATGTCTCTGGCATACAACAGCTTGTTAATGGGAGAATCCTGAAAATAAGATGATTAAAACAAAGAACATTAGTTACAGCATGCGGGATATGAATTCATTTCATACACTTAATCTAGAACACAACTGGGAATGTTAATTAACAAAATAATCGCATAAGAATGACAGTCTACTAACATAAGATTTATGGAATGATACAGTATATATAAAAAAATATATACACACTTTTTAAAAACAGACCCTTGAAGAATGCTTTGGATTTTCTCCACTCTCCCCTGTTTTGCATTTATAAAATAGTTTTAATGCAGAAACACTCAGTGCAGACCTCTGCAGGTTTTGGACCCTAACAACTTACCCTTCTAGCTCAAACAGATGCTTAACAAAGGGTAAACAGATTCCATACAGCCCAAGAACAATCTGTTGAGTGTTTATGGATTCAGCAGTAATCCACAAGGGAAAAGCCGCCTCTCTCTAGTGATCTCTACCCCCATAAGGGCCAACAGCTTCCCCGCACATACCCTTCCTAGCTTGTGTTCTGCTATAGTGCAGGAGTCCATGAAGGTCTGGGCAATGACCGAGAGCACAGCGTCCACATTATCTGAAGCTTGCACATCAAATATGAACTGTGGGTTTTTGATGATGTTGATCCAAAACCTTAATGGCAAGCTGTATAAAAGAAAAAAGAGAAAAAAAAGTTTTTTGCACTGTGAAACAAAAACGAAATATGTCCTTTCTGTACAGATACCCAGTTTCAGTACAGTGGAACATCAGTAAGGTCACTCTACACAATTCAAGAATGGCTTCAACTAGGATTTTAATTCAAATATGAGTAGAGATCTTCCTTGCGTGTAGAAAATGATAATTAACAACCAGTTTACCATAAATATCTTAAAACGTTTTTTGCAAATGCTTTTAAAAATGTTTGTAATGCAAAGAAATAAGAAGCCCTGACACTCGCGTCATTCCAATCAAATGAAACGAAAGTCTTCGAACCTGTTGGTTTTCCATATGTGTATCGTTTCTGAGTCTGAGATCCCATGATGGGCTGCCTGCTCATCAAGGAGATCGAAGAAGTACTTCACAGCCAATGGAACTGGGCGGCTCGTGCTCAGAATGACCTGGAACAGGTCATCCACAAATTTCTGCAGCGTTCCCTGAGGGGGACAGAGCAAAGAGTTGCATAAAAAACTGAGGGAGAATTGATGGAAAGTTTCATGCATCGTTAGTTTTAAATAATTTAATATTTCCATACTTAAGACCAGGCTAAACTAGTATCCTAACAGCTGTGTCCAGAACAATCTAAGTCCATGTATTCAAGGACTTGCTGCAGTTATCGTCGGAAAGCTTATTGTCAGTGAAGCATTTTTCCTGTCATATCTGATTTTAGTGAGCTTCTTTTAGTTTTGTTAAGCTCTTATTCTCTTCAAGATTCTAAAGACATTAAAGTGCTGTTTGCTACTTTGGGCTGAAAGGAACATTATGAGGTATTTTCCTGAGAAGTGGACAAAAGCCAGTGAGTTCCTGAAACTGTCACCTGAAGTGTTGTGTATCTGTGGTCATTACACTCTCCTCTCTAGTCGATGTTGTCTTTTCTAGATTATAACGTTCAAGTTACTGGGTCATATGTGGCTTCATCTGTCCATCCTTCCATCAGCCACCAAAATACACATTTACTGAATTCTCAGTGTCCACACCCAGGGAAAGATTAACATGCTTTAATATTGGAATACAGGGAATTCTTCCCTTACAGCATCCAAAATCATCAGACATGATTTCAGACAGCCATATCAAACCGAATGCTAAGATGTCCTCAGATCCCTTCCAACACACCAGCTCAATTTTTAAACTTTTGAGGTTTCAAAGCACCAAATATAGTCCTACTGGATTCCAAAACAGCACCTATCTAAAGGCCATTAGGCACCTTAATATGTAGATCTCAGCTGAATCAAGCATCATTTGGGAGTAAATATAAATATACGTGGAACAGAATGATTTGGATTTTTTTTAACTTTGAGATGGAGTGTCTGAATAATGTGAACTGTGTAAATGCAAAATGTATTGTTTTGGTTGTTTTTACTGAGCTGCACGTGAATCTACATTGAGTAGACTCAAGATTCAGTACTTTATTGCCCCGTCAACAGTTTTGCTATGGTAAGCACACCTTCATGGACAGCAGGCGAGTCAGGTAGATCTCGGGGATGGCTTTGGCCCGCTCTCTCTCGCGCAGGCTGCCTCGCCGGTGTTTGGGCAGTTCCGGCTCTTCGCTGGCCTTCACCAGGTGCCACAGTTTGACCCCCCCCTCATCCGCGTCCTCCAGCATCGGGGTCTCTGAAAACAGTGGCAAAGACAACCGGTGGGCCTGTGCATCAGAGCACACAGACAATTGAGATTCTCAATCCGCTCAGCGTGGCTAGTGTGGGGACGAGAGGCGATCAGAGTATTAGAAAGATGGAATGAAAAAATTGGAAAATAAGGCCATAGTTAGGGAACTCAGCAGGGTATACCCGCCATTTCATAAAATTTCTAGTTTGAGATTATTTTATTTCTTATGTATTACATAGGTTACATCATATAGCCTGCTTGTATCCACTTATGGATTACTCCATGCCTGGATTCCAGAAACCAAGCAAAAATGGACTGTCATATTAGCAGAAAATGCACAAGGGAGTACATTACTGGTTTAAACTGCAAGTATGCAGTTTTTTACATAAAAACGAGAACTATATAGAGTGAGAAAGGAAACAATAAACATATGAAAAAGTACATACAATAGCACACTTTCTGAAATGTCAGTACTGATTAAATAAGGGAGTAAAAAAGGACCAAACACTGGCTGTACTTCAGATGCTTATCTTAAAAAACTGTTTAATTAGCCTCCTTTCTCTTTTTTTGTGTGTGCATGAGCTCCCAATCTTTCTATGTGTTCTTCTGAGTGTCTACTGAATTCTGGAAATTGAAAAAGTAGTAAAGTTGGCACTGCTACACGTGCTTTTTTAAAAACGCTGTGCAGCTTAGGAACCACAATTTTGGTAAAGCTAGTCTTCCCTGATCCTCGTCACTTCGCTGGGAAGTGTACTCACTCTCTCCCGCTATGTAGTCGTGATTGTCGTGGTGAATGTGTTTGCTGTGCCGTGGGACAAGTGCCACAGTTGCTCCATCGGTAACCTG